CTTTAGGTATGTGTGACTTACTGGCATCTGATTTAGTGTATGTCGCACACTTGTGCTGAATATTGAACTGGGTTTCAAGATGCTTCTTCGCAATGATTTTAAAACTTACTGTGTGAGCATATTATAGAATGTATGAGAGAGAGCTTTCTGGAACAGTATGCTGAGTAACCAACTAGGGGACAGGCCATCCTAGACCTTGTTTTGTGTAATGAAACAGGGCTAGTCGGTAATATAGATATTAAGGCTCCTCTTGGGCAGAGTGATCATAACATGATAGAATTTAGTATTAAGTTAGAGAGTGATGTAGTCAAATCCGAAGCAAGGGTCTTAATAATAATAATAATAATCCTTGCATTTGATATAGCGCTTTTCACGTCGGGAGGACGTCCCAAAGCGCTTCACAGAACATACTGTAAAGTGAATTGACTATATTTGTGGGCGAACACGGCAGCCAATTGCGCACAGCAATGCCCACAAACAGTCGTAGATTGAAAATGACCAATTTAATTATTGTTTTTTTTTTTGGAGGAATATTATTAGGCTCTGTGTGGAGTAAGGAAACTTGCCCAAGGTTTCGCCCTCTGCCTGGAATTGAACTCAGGTCTCTCACTTGCAAAGCGAGTGCTCTAACCACTGAGCTACAGGACTCCACACTCTTAAATTTAAATACAGCTAACTTTGCAGGTATGAGGGAAGAATTAGCTAAAATAGACAGGGGAATTAGATTAATGGATATGACAATAGACCAACAGTGGCAAACGTTTAAAGAGGTAGTGCAAAATTCTCAGCGGTCACATATTCCTTTGAGGAATAAGAGTACCACAGGGAAAGCAGTTCATCCTTGGCTAACTAGAGTAGTTAGAGAAAGTATAAAACTAAAAGAAAAGGCCTATAAATCTGCCAAAAAGAGAAGCAAACCCGAGAACTGGGAGTGTTTTAGGGACCAACAAAGGAAAACAAAAAAGCTCACTAAGAGTGAGAAAATGGATTATGAGGGCAAGCTAGCTAGGAACATTAAGACAGATTGTAAGAGTTTTTATATATACATTAAGAGGAATAGGCTAACAAAAGTAAATGTGGGTCATTACAGGCAGAGACAGGAGGAGTTATAATGGGGGATAAGGATATGGCAGAGTCCCTAAATAAATACTTTGCTTTTGTCTTCACGTTCGAAAACACAAGAAGTTTACCAGAAATAGAGATGAACTAAGGGGCTAATGACAGGGAGCAACTTAAAGAAATTTACATTAACAAAGAACTGGTGCTAGGGAAATTGTTGGCATAAAAAATGACAAGTCCCCTGGACCTGATGGTTTGTATCCTAGGGTTTTAAAAGAGGTAACTCATGAGATAGTGGAGGCCTTGTGTCTGATCTTCCAAAATTCTTTGGATTCTGGAATGATTCCCATTGATTGGAAGATCGCAAACATCACACCACTATTTAAGAAGGTGGGAGAGAAAAGATGGGGAATTATAGACCAGTTAGTCTGACATCGGTGGTAGGGAAAATTCTAGAATCCTTAATTAAGGATATCGTAGTGGGATACTTAGAGGATCACAATATGATTAGACAGAGTCAACATAGCTTTACAAAAGGGAAGTCATGCTTAACAAATCTTTTAGATTTTTTTGAGGACATATCAAGTAGATTAGATAGGGGGGAATCAGTGGATCTAGTGTATTTAGATTTTCAAAAGGCATCCGATAAGGTACCGCATAAAAGGTTGATTCACAAGATTAGGGCCCATGGAATTAAGGGGAATATATTAGCATGGATTGGAGAATGGCTAATGGGAAGAAAACAAAGAGTAGGGATAAACGGGTCCTTCTCAGATTGGCGGGATGTGACTAATGGAGTGCCACAAGGCAGTGCTTGGGCCTCAACTATTTACAATCTACATCAACGATCTAGATGAGGACATTGAACTTAATATATCCAAATTCGTGGATGACACTAAACTAGGAGGGAGAGTAAACACCGAGGATGACATTAAAAAAATGCAACGAGATATAGATAGGCTAGGTGAGTGGGCAAATAGGTGGCAGATGAAGTATAATGTAGGGAAGTGTGAAGTCATCCACCTAGGTGGCAAAAACAGTAGAGCAGATTATTTTTTAGAAGGGGAGAGACTAGATAGTGTTAGCGTTCAGAGGGACTTGGGTGTCCTTGTACACCAGTCACAAAAAGTTAGTTTGCAGGTACAGCAAGCAGCTAGGAAGCTAACGGTATGTTGGCATTTGTTACAAAAGGGTTAGAATATAAGAGTAGGGAAGTCTTGCTGCAACTGTATAGGGCCCTGGTGAGACCGCACCGAGAGTATTGTGTGCAGTTTTGGTCTCCTTATTTAAGAAAGGATGTACTCGCCTTGGAGGGGGTACAACGTGGGTTCACTAGGTTGGTACCAGGGATGAGGGGATGAGTTATGAGGATAGGTTGAGCAATTTAGGCCTATATTCTCTAGAATATAGAAGAATGAGAGGTGATCTTATAGAAACCTATAAGATTATTAAGGGGCACAACAGAATAGATAGTGGGAGACTTTTTCCCCTGTTTGGAGAAACTGTAACCAGGGGTCACAGTCTTAAAATTCGGGGTAAGCCCTTTCGCACTGAGTTGAGGAAAAGCTTCTTCACTCAGAGGGTAGTGAATATATGGAATTCTCTACCCCAAAGGGCTGTAGATGCTCAGTCCTTGAACATATTCAAGACTGAGATTGATCTTGTGGACAAAGGGATTAAGGGATATGGGGATAAGGCGGGTAGGTGGAGTTAGAATAGATCAGCCATGATCTTATTGAATGGTGGTGCAGGCTGGAGGGGCCGAATAGCTTACTCCTGCTCCTAATTCTTATGTTCTTATGTTCTATTTGTGATGCACCAGATATCTCTATCACTGGTGAAAAATATTCTTTTAAGAAAACACAGCTGTTATACAGGCAGTTACCTTATACGATTTACTTTGCATTCTATAGTAAATACCTACATGTCAGTTGATAGCACTCCAACTTTTGCACCAGGAGTTGTGAGTACAAGTCCATTTAGAGCTCACAGTCTGGACTGACATTCCAGTGCAGTGCTGGGCGAATGCTGCATTGTTGTAGGTGCTGGCCTTTGGATGGGTTGGTAACCGAGACCCCAACTTCCCGTTTGGGTGGATGTTAAGCTCTCCGTGGCACTAATAATAATAATAATCCTTGCATTTGATATAGCGCATTAAACATTGTTGAGACGTCTCAAAGTATTTTACAGAATATATTGTAAAATATAGTGACCGTGTATTTTGTGGGTGAAACACAGCAGCCCATTGTGTACAGCAGTGTCCCACACACAGTTGTGGATTGAGTGACCAAATGTTTTTATTTGTGTGTTTGTTTTTTCACTATTCAAAAAGAAGAGTTTAGATCGTCAGCAGTCTTTAAATCCATGTTAGTAATGTAGATATGTGCGGTTTGTAATTTAATGTTGTTCATTCCAATAAGTAAAATAATACTAAAAGCTGTAATAAAGGAACACAATCTTGTTCATTCTTCTCTGACTAAGCCATCTTCTGACATAACTCAATGGGCTAAAGCTTTGATACATGGAAAGATACATGGCATCAAAACAGATGCTGCAGAAATGGTATCCTTTAGAATATTGAGGTCAAATTTGCAGGATTTCTTAATAGAATTCCTGTGAGATCTCTGGTCTGGTCAGGAAGGAAATTATAGTAAACAAGGATTCCCATGGTTCGGTGTGGTGGATTTCATTAAAAGTTGTCCCCATTTGTGTGACTCGGTTCCTTATTTTCACAGGTGAACTATATAATTTCCTGTATTGTATTCTCTGGTTTTCATTTGCCGACTCTTTTCTTTTTATCTGTTTCATTATTTAATGAGCATCGAAATGACAAGAAATGTCAGGATAATTTAACATTAAAAGTGTCAGGTCTTCTATGCCCAAATATCTGGTAAATTTTTACAGTGCTAAAGAGAAAAAACAATCACCTCCGCCCTCCCTGAAGGAACAGCTAGAACTGGGACATTGACTCACCAACATGTCGGGAGGACGTCGCAAGGCACTGGATAGTCAATGTTTCGGACCCAAGCTGGCGGTCGGCATTGGGGAGGGTGGAGTGCAAGAGGGGAAGGAGGGTGACCGAACCCACGGACAAAGAGAGTCTTGAGATTGGTCTTGAAGGAGGCAAAGGAGGGGGTGAGGTGGAGGGACTGCGGGATGGAGTTCCAGAAGGTGGGGGCAGAGTGGCTGAAGACCCGCCGGCCAATGGTGAGGCGGCGAGGCGGGGGACGTGAAGCAGGCCGGAACCCACTGAGTGGAGGAAGCGAGCAGGTTGGTAGGGGATTAGGAGGTCGCAGAGGTTGGAGGGAGCAAGGCCATGCCAGGGCTTTGAAAGTGAGGATCTGAATCTCGAACTGTATCCTCGGTGCAATGGAAAACCAGTGGAGTTGGGCGAGGATGTGGGTGATAGGGTCACGGAGCCTTGAGCTGGAGAGGACACGGGCCGCAGAGTTCTGGACGATCTGCAGCCTATGGAGGGAAGAGTTGGGGAGGCCGACAAGCAGGGAGTTTGCATGATCAAGCCTGGATGTAATGAAGTCGTGTATGAGCGTCTCAGCGGCCTGCGGTGTTAGACAATGGCAGAGCCAGGCAATGTTGCAGAGGTGGGGAAGGCAGAGCGGGTTATGGCACGGATGTGGAGTAGAAAGGACAGTTGAGGGTCAAACAAGAGAGTAAGTTTCTGGATTGGCTTATTAAGGTAGAGTGTGCATCCTTGGACAGTTATGCTGTCAGTGCCTGATGAGTGGAGATGCTGTTGGGAGCCAATTGGGGAGGCCTTGCTCTTGTTGATGTTCAGCTGTAGAAAGTTAGCTCTCATCCAGGACTTGATGTCTGATAGACATTCTGTCAGTACAGCAGTGGTCCTGAAGTCAAGGGTGGAGGCAGAGAGATAGAGTTGTGTGTCATCCGCATACATGTTGAAGTTGACCCCATTTCTGCAGATGATGTCACCAAGAAAGAGCATATCAATATTGAAGAGGAGTGGACCAAGGACAGAGCCCTGAGGAATACCACACGAGACAGTCCGGGGGCTAAAGAAGCCGCTTATGAAAATGGAGTGGAGACGGTGTGAGAGGTACGATCTAAACCAGTCAAGGGCAGAACCATCAAGGTTGAGGTGAGAGGAGAGACGGTGGATGAGGATCGAGTGGTCAACGGTGTCAAAGGCAGCAGAGAGGTCAAGGAGGACGAGGAGGCAGAGGGAGCCCTAGACACAGATGGACAAAATATAATTTGTCACTTTGACCAAAGATGTTTCTGTGATGTGGGCGGCACAGAAACCCAATTGGAGCGGTTCGTGAAGGGAGTGGCAGGAGAGGAAGGAACAAAACTGGGAAGCAACGTTTCATTCCAAGACTTTAGAAAGGAAAGGGACGTTGGAGATGGGGTGGGATGGATCACGAATGATTCCAAGGAGCGTTTTTTCAGGATAGGAGGTGATGACAGCCGTTTTTAAAGGGGTGGGTACAGTACCAGTGGACAGGGAGAGGTTTATGATGTCTGTGAGTAGAGGGTCAAGGAGGTGGAGCTGGGAGGTAAGGGGAGGGGTAAGGATGGAGTCGAGGGAGCAGGTGGTCAGTTTCATGTGGGTTATTGGTGGTGAGAGAGGAGTGGGAGCCAGGTTTGAAGGTGTGGAGGGAGGGATGGGTAGGGGCCGGGATGTGAGAGAGAGATGGGGAGGGTGTAGTATTTGGAAGGGCAGAGGCAGCTGAGTGGATCCCCTCGACTTTGGTTTTGAGGAATTCCAGCATCTCCTCGCAATTGGCGTTGGAGGAGAGGATGGGGAAGGTGTGAGAGAGTGGGCGGAGGAGCTGGTTGGTAATGAAGTAGAGGAGCCTGGAGTTGTCCTTGGCTTCCAAGAATGTCTTGGAGTAAAACGACGATTTAGCAGAGGCGAGTGCAGAGCAGAAAGTTTTGATAAGGTCCAGCCAGATCTGCAGGTGGACTGTTAAGTTAGATTTGAGCCAGATATGTTCGGCAGCACGCACCTGTGCCTTGAGGGAGCAGGGTGTCTTCCATGAGTAGGAGGAAGTTTGGAAAGTGAGGGGAGCAAGGGCATCGAGAGTGTTGGAGAGGGAGTTGTGGAGGAGAGTGACTGAAGAGGTTAGGTTATTGCGGAAGGAAACCCAGAAGGGGAAGAATTCAGATGACTCCAAGGCAATGGGGGAGGGTAGGAGATTTTATTCCAGGGGCGGTAGGAGATGGAAGTGTGTTGGGTGGCGGTAGGGAAAGGGATTGAGGACTTAAGAGAGATGAAGTAATGGTCCGAGATGGTTTTGTCAGTGATGGTGAGGTCCGAGATAATCAAATGGGTGGCCATCAACGTGGGTGTCGGAGTGGGTGTGGAGGGAATGTTGTGAGAAGAGAGAAGATAGGAGAAGTCAATGGAGAGAGAGCAGAAGGGGTTGAAGTGCAGGTTGAAGTTGCCTTCAATGCGTGACAGTCCATTTACTCCACCACCTAAGTAAAAAGCATCATCCAATCGGTAATTATTCCACTTCAGGAATTCAAATGAATAAAATTTTTCCCTTTTTCCCACAGCGAAGCAAATGCATGATTAATTTCCATTAAAAGTAATTAATCTAATGCTAATTATCTTTTTCCCAAAGAAACCGGATCACTGGCTAACATCTGGTTAACAGCGAGATTAGAGGCAGTAGTTTTCGATTTAGCTATTCAAAAACTCAATGGAACACTCAGTGCAGACCTGCTGGGACCTTGGCAAATGTCAATTGTTAAATAATGCAGATTTTAATGTTAAATTTATATCCTGCAGGGTTTTTTTCAATCACTTTTGTATTCCTATGAAATTTCACAGAATTGTCTTTTTTACCTTGCAATTCAGGACCCCTTAGCAGCTGAGCTAAATTAACAATGACGTGATCTAGTGGAAGGAATTATAATATAATAATAATAATCCTTGCATTTGATATAGCACTTTTCATGTCTTCGAAACGTCTCAAAGCGCTTCACAGAATATGCTATAAAGTGAATTGACTGTATATTTGTGTGCGAAACGCAGCAGTCAATTGCACACAGCAATGTCCCACAAACAGTCGTGGATTAAAAATGACCAATTTATTATTGTTTGGTTTTGGAGGGATTATTATTAGGCTCTGTGTGGAGTAAGGAAACTTGCCCAAGGTTTCGCCCCCTGCCTGGAATTGAACCCAGGTGTCTCGCTTGCAAGGCGAGTGCTCTAACCACTGAGCTACAGGACTCAATGTGGTGAATAAGTTTTTTATGTACTATGGAAAGATTAAAGTGTAATTAATAAGTTACCATGTTAAATAATAAGCCTGGTCAACAAATTTCTCTAGCTTCTAAGGACAGTGATGAAGAAGAATCCTTGCATTTGATATAGAGCCTTATCACGTCTTCGGGACGTCTCAAAGCGCTTCACAGAATATGCTGTAAAGTGAATTGACTGTATATTTTGTGGTTGAATAACTATGGGAGGGTAATTGTAATGGATCAGCCTGACTGCGCCCCCAGTTTTTGTGGCTTAAAAAGTCAACGGAAACCTTAACTCTAAAACATTTTTTTTCTTATCGCTGCATTAACTGAAGTGCTGCTCTTTGGATGAGACGCTAAACCAATGTCCCTTCTGCCTGATCAGGTGGACATTAAATATCCCATGGCATTATTCTAAAAGAGAAGGGGTTTTCCCCTGGTGTCCTGGCCAACAAACCTCTGGATAAAATTGCCCATTGGACATTGAAGTGTACAAATTTGGATATGTGTTTGCCTACAAAATTCCTATTCACTACACTTTACAATAAAAATATTGTGAAGCATTTTGAGACATTTCAATGACAAGATAAGGCACTATATCAAAATGCAAGGAATATTATTATTCCATAGTACATGACAATCTAATGTTTGAACTCGTTCATTCTTATTTTTCTGCTATGGAATATCTCCATTGTTACAGCCCTTAACTGGTATGGCCACAACCTCTTTTAATCAATTTATCTATTATTTGTGCATATTAAAAGCTAATAAGTGTTTTTGATCTTGAAATGCTCATGCAGTCAATTCTTCCCAGTCTGTGCAGATGTGTATATTACTAGTGTTTCCTGCTGAATAAACAGAAACTTTATCAGAATTAGCTTAGCAAAAGCTGGGATCAGCACTGGGATCAGCTTAATTAGCTCTTGTAGCTTTCAACACATTCAGTAGTAATATTGCTACACGCTGGTACCTTTTGCTTCTATTTCTGTAAATGTCAATAAATATATATTTTAATTCCCTGTGTGATGATTCACACGTCAAGTCACCGTAATCTGGAAAGGTTAACTGCTTCAACAAAAGATGAATTACTGTAGGAGAGCAGATTATTAATGGTTACCACTACGTTGCAATGTAGTTCGCAAAAATAAGAAAGAAGATAATTATATATTGAAATTAAGACCAAATACATTTATCAACTCTCCTGTAAGACGGGGTGGTAAAAGGTTATTAATTATGCTGAAGGATAACATTTGAGCTTGTGTATCATTCTCTTCCCTGCATATACAAGTAAAGTAGAATCCAGGAATGAAGTTCCTCCTTCCTTTGCACTAGTCCCTCATCTTTCCTTTTTAAATCAATTCTTTGTGTTCAACAAGTGCAGGAATCTTCGTGTTGCTGAGTGGAAAATGTTCTGCTTGTTCCACTTCATGGAAGTGTTGAGCATTGAGAGTCAGATGTATATCTTATAGGTATTTACAAGGAAACTTGATGCATACGTGAGGGGAAGGCAATGTAATAATAATCCTTGCATTTTATATAGCGCTTTTTACATCTCAAAGCGCTTCACAGCATATGCTGTAAAGTGAATTGACTGTATATTTGTGGAAGAAACGCGGCAGCCAATTGCGCACAGCAGCGTCCCACAAAGGGTTGTGGATTGAAGTGGCCAATTTATTATTTATTATTCTTTTTTTTTCTTGAGGGATTGTTATCAGGCGTGTGGCGTAAGGAAACTTGTCCACGGTTCGCCTGCTGGGAATCAAACCCAGTCTCTCACTTGTGAGGCGAGTGCTCTATATAGAGGCTCCGGTCTGCTCCACATTCCCCGCCCCAACCTCCCTACCATCGGTGGCCGGGCCTTCAGCCTCTCAGCCCCGAGGCTCTGGAACTCTATCCCCCAGTGCTTCCTCCCTTTCCGCCTTCAAGGCCGGTCTCAAGACCTTTCTCTTTGACCGTGCCTTCAGTTCCCCTCTCGACTCTCTACTCCCTCCCTCCCTTCCCTCCCCTCACCCTGACCATTTCCCCCCTGCTCAGGTCCTGCCCCAACTGTACAGCGCCTTGGGACGTCCTCCCGACGTGAAAGGCGCTCTATAAATGGAATCTTGTTGTTGTTGTTGTGGCATAGATGAGGAGAATAGGATGTGTGGAATCTTCTGTACTGAATAAAGACCAGCATAGACTAGTTGCACCATGTTTCCATGCCATATGCAACTATGAAACTCTATGAAAACTTTCTGAATCTCTGCAGTATGGGTTGGGTGCAAATGAGCACTCCCTCCACTCTGCCACGTTGAAGACTAAGAATCTCTTTTATCAGTAAAACAAAACCATGGGACATAAATGTTTCCCCAGTGAGGCATTAGAGTGGTAACTGGAAACAGGCCATAAGGTCCAACTAGAGGTTATAATGATAAAGTTTAGCCCAGACTATGAGCTCAAGTCCAAATGTGAGGCTTGAGCCCACAACCTTCTGACTTAAAGGTAGGAATGCTATCAGTATGGCCAGGCTGACCCTAAGTTTACATTATCTTCTATCTTTCTATTATATATCTTCGTATATACATATACTAACAGAATGTCTATGTCTGTCTGCACTTCTCAATAACCAATTGGCGTAGAGACATGATTTATACCTCATTGGAAAGGTCTTGCATCTAGGCATATTTGTTTTTAGGTATCTACTATCGTTCATGAGTTATTTTCTGTTTTGTGTTTTTTGCTGCAATTACACCTGGTGGCCGCGCTGGCTGACTGTGATGTTATAATATAATAATAATAATAATAATCCTTGCATTTGATGTAGCACTTTTCATGTCTTCTGGACGTCCCAAAGCGCTTCAC